CCAAAGAGCCACGTGTGGATACAGACCCTTACTCCAGGTCTGGGACAGATTTGTTTCTGAGGTGTACATGCAGGCAGCAGAAATAGTGACCACCTGTCACTATCTGTGGTTGAGGTAGGCAGTGCTTTGTAGGGATATGTAATATTTTTGTATTTGCTAAGCGTGTTTAATCCCCTGGTGAGGTTTTGCAACTGGTGGGGAAAAAAACGTACGACCAAGGTTCAACAACTGATATAGTGGAAGTCCATGTAAGTCTGTGCTAGCTTAGCATTAGCTTGAGTGAGAATGTAGATAAGAACAGAAAACTCCCTCAGGAAGTAAAATCGCCTGTATCTGGGAATTACGTATACCAAATCTGGGGAGCAGTAAGTTCCTATAGTGACTTGGTTTGTGTAGTACTCAGTATTTAAATAAACGTAGAGCCCCCTTCCATTGCTCTTGCCAGAGTTCGCTGTTGTATCAGCTAGTTTGCGCCACAACTCCATGGAGCTACTGAGACAAAATAACATGTTTTTGTAACAGTCGGCATTGCTTTGCCATCCATTCATCCATTTTCCTCCACTTTTTTCAATTTAGAGTCATGAGGTACATTTTGTGTCTGCAGTATATAGTTTGTAGGGATGTGTCACCCTGGCAACTGGGAAACCACAGCTTTACAAGGAAGTGGAAACTACTGTGTTTTAACTTTGTTATCTGGTGTTAAAAGTACATTGGTTCACCCCACCAGCAACCCTCCAGCTTCCAAATCTAGATTTTCTTTCCTACTTTTTAGAAAACATTAATGTCATGTACAGTACTGTGCTGTCATGTCTTTATATTTTGCCTCCAAGCAGCTTGCAATAGTTCTCCAGGCTCTCTGAAGTTTATCTTTGGACATTAGTGGCTTCATTCTTTATTTTAACATCTCTTCGTATCTGTCCTTAATAAAATTTGTGGAACAGGTACAGGACAAACGACGTGGCAGGACTAAAAACACATCTACAGCAGATGAACTGTATGTGAAAGTCACATCTTTAAGAAATCGTAAAGAATCCAGCAAAGACCCGACAAGGACCCGGGAGGTGCTTCTGGCCCTGCAGCTGATCCATCTGCTGCTCACCAAAGCATCATCAGAAAGTGTTTCAGAAGAAGGATGGCTGTCAAGAAGCTGTTGTTTAAGAAAAGAAATGGGGAGAAAAGGTTGAGGTATGCTAAGTTACACAAGAACTGGGCCAAAAATCTGTGGCAACAGATCTTATAGAATGATGAATCAAATTTTTCATTCAAGTCATCAACAGCAAGTGTCTATAGCATCTGTAAAACATGGTGAAGGGCCTGTCATGGTTTGGAAATCTTGCCAAAACCAACTGAATTATGAACATTAAAAAAGTATCAACAATGCAATACCATCTGGAAAGTATTTGGCAATAGCTTCATTTTTCAGCATGACAATGATCCCAAACAAAAATAAACTGCTCCCCGGGCGCTGCACTGGCGGCTGCCCACTGCTTCACTGGGTGAATGGGTTAAATGCAGAGGAACTATTTCCCTATGGGGACTAACACGCACACTTTACACTTTACACTTTACTTTTACACACTGTCAGTGAAGCAAAAGCATACCTAGACAGAAAAGCACACAATGGAAGACTATCAGTCATGGACTGGCCTCCCCAGAGCCCGGACCTCAATATTATTGAAGCAGCGTGGGATCATCTTGCCAAAATAAAAGAACAAAAGGCAGCTAATGCTAAAGAAGACTTTTGGAATGATCTTCAAGAAGCCTGGAGAACTATTTTTGAAGACGTCTTAAAGAAATTACAACACAGCCACAGAGTTCAGGCTTTGTTGAAGAGTAAAGGATGTTATACCAAATATTGACTCGTTAAAATTCTACTAACTCTGTTTTTGATTTATTCATAGTGCTGTTCATGGACTCAAAATAGTACACGTGAGACTGGACAGATGAAAAATCACATTCGGCTACATGAAGATAAGGATGGAAAATAGATTATAGGTTGTGAGCAAGGTTATTATCGTTAACGAAAACTAACGAAAACTAACGAAAACTAACGAAATAATGAAAACTAGAAGTGAAAAAACATTTTCGTTAATGGAAATAAAAAAAATTTAAAAAAAGGAAAACTAACTAAAACTGTAATGAGTGTTCACAAAACTAACTAAAATTAATTGAATTTATAGCAAAAATGTGTTTAGTTTTCATTGATGTGTGCGTGTCATACAATAGTCAAGGGTGAAAATGAAGTTTAGTTTCCAGATTTTTTTCTTGATGTCTAATTATGCCAGCCGGTGGCAGTACGTTAGTCGAGTCGTCTGTGTTGCTCCATCCACGCGCAGAATCGTGTCAGGAAAAGTCAGGAGAAAGCACCAGAGTCTAATTTGGGATTACTTTGAATATGACTGTGTTTTGGATAAAGCAAGTGTCTTGTAGTGGAAAGAGACAAATTATGAGGGACATTTCTAAAGGGAAAAAAATCCCACAAACCTTAAAGTGCACTTGAAAAGCTCACACAAGAAGGCTAACCTAGCTTACCTTGAGAAGGTAAGGGAGCACACTCAACCCTCATCCCCAGAAAACAGAAGCTAACCCCAGGCAAGGCAGCGTGATGCATCCCGAGACAACAGGACGGGGACATCTACATAACTGTGTGAGTCAATTGCCTTCAAAAAGTTTATCAATTCACTTGAACCAAAATTACGAACACCCGGTGCTGCAAGAGTTAATAGTCTCATTGGGGCCAAGATATACATTTTATAGTTGCCTGGTATCAATGGTTGTTCATCTGCCTTTATTTATTTATTTATTTAAAGAACCCATAGGTGGGAATGTGAGTTGTCTGTCTCTGCGTGTTAGCCCTGCGACAGACAGGCGACCTGTCCAGGGTGCAGGGTATGGTAGCTGGAATAGCAACATACCCAAGGATAAGCAGAAGAGCATGACTGATATGATGAAACTGGGATTTTGTTACACTTAATTATTGCAAACAAAACTAAAACTATAACTGAAACTAATCAAAACTAAACTGAAACTAAGGATTTTCAAAAAAATAAAAACTAAACTAAACTAGCAAACAATTGGTAAAAACTAATTAAAACTGATATAAAATTTGAAAATCTGAAGTCAAAACTAAATAAAAATAAAAACTAATGAAAATTGCAAAACTATTAAAACCCTGGTTGTGAGTGTTTGACAAACTGCCATGAGGCTGCATTGTGGGATCTGAACTGTTTTTTTGTTTGTTTCTTTTTACCACTTATGCAATAAAAACCGTATTTGAATCAAGTAGAAATCATGTTCACAGAAGAGGTGCTCGATTTAAATTTTAATTATTTGCGATATATACTCAGGTTATATCGCTCCTATTAACTTATGCATTAAGTCCACGACATGCATACATATCTACGTAACAATTTGTGATATTTCAGTTGTGTTGCAACCCACCACTGTTATCTGGCTTCAAAATAATGCTGCAAACTATACAGTGAATAAAAGTACAGATTTATCTTGTTTTCATCACTGTTGAAAACATTTCTTGGAAAAGAGGTACAGTATAAAAGTCTACAAGTATATAACATTGGTCAAAAATGTTAGATGCTTTGAAGTTTTAGAAGCTTTCAAAGGGGTGTTATGGATGTAGCCAGCACTGATTAAGAACAACAAAGAAAGAATGTGAGCCAAACACAGTGAAAAATGGACAATGTGAAAAACAATTGGAAACACTTTGAGTGTAAAGTCTTAATATTTTCTCTGAAGTTTTCTGCGAGTGATTCTGTAAGAAGTTACTAATTAGAGAGAAATTTCATGTTTGTCTGCTTCTAAACAAATTTAACAGTTTTTGATGTTCAGCTGACCAGCTGCGCATTGACTCTCGATCTGACAGCAATTACTCACAAATACAAGTCTGAAAAAGTAACCTCTCAACACTGCGTCTGTTTTCCTATAATTAATAGCGAACTACACAGTTCTTTCCAGGAAACATCTTGGTGATTATCAGCAAACTATTTGGACAAAGACACATAAAATGAAGCCAAATTATTTGCAACATTTCTGCAGCCGGACCTTTGCTACCATTATGAGTGCATCTTGAAGCATGCTTGTGCAGGCTCACTGTGCTCTAAGAAATACTTAAGAAGCCATATTTTTAAAAGAAACAATGGCTGGTTTTGAAGACACATTTTGGATTGTGCCATTTTACACTGCTTGGATGCACACTAGTTTTCAGCATTTTCTACAGTAAGCTACATCGTCGTCTGCATCTGGATTAAAAATAAAAACAGATGTGAATGTTAACAAGGAGATGAGTTGTCCTCTGCAGACAAATTCTTCCAAGAGAAGTAACCTCCTCTGTTTTTATGAGTTTTGAACTTGGAGCTTAAAGGCAGAGCTGTCTATAAATCACATAAAGATAAAACAGATTAGGTTAACTCTTAGCAGAGTAAGTGCACAATAATCACAATAATCACACATACAGAAATGCAGAAACACATTAGTGGAGCACTGAGAAAAGACAAAATGTGTGGTTCTATAATAGATATACAACGAAATGGTTGGAGATCAACGTAAATGGCTTCTATCTAAATGTTTGCATAATAAAACATTCATTAATCCATAGACAGACATAGGCCTTTTCAGAGAAGTGTCAGCCACATTATACATACTCCTTCCCTTTCAAACTCACATTTAAGCTTTGAAAGAATCATCCTAATTAAATGGTTTATGTGCAACTGTGTGAAAGAGTGTTTGATAAAAAGACGTGGAAAAAAAGGTTGAAGCTTATTGCCTCAAAGCTAAAAGCTCCTCATTGTATCTTTTTGAGGCAGTAATAACAGCTTAAACAAACATGCTGACAAATATGGCAAAAACACAACTGAAATACAAAATCTGTCTCTGCTGCTGAGATCACAGAGGGTGTCCTTCACTGTGACCTTAGCAGGAGTCAAAGAGAATCTGAAAACCAGCAAGCCGATCACATGACACAAGGAGATAAGGATGACACTCACTGTGTTGAATCCTGGAAAGAGGCTGACCGCTGAGGCTGTATCCAAAGGAATAGGTAGAAACTGCTTCATGGCCAGCGAGGTCTGGACAGCAGGCAGGGTGGGACGCACCAATGCAGGCATGAGGCCATTTTGACATGTGTTACCTGCAGGAGGGAGAGCAAAGGCAACATGATGAACTACAGACAGCAACAGGGCAAGATGCACAAGCCGAAATCTGGAAGCGTACATTTAAATTAATCTTCAGTGCTTGTTTTATTCAGGTCTACGACATCATGATGCCCCTGCTTTCGGTTTGTACAAATCATTTAATCTACCACTTAAGCACCTCAGCCACCACAACTGCCAAGGCAAGACATTCCTTACATTGGCTCCAGAGCGTACAGTGAAAATTGATTGAACTTAAATTAATGCCAGAAGTAAAAAAGTATTTTTGGCAGCTTGTGAAATACATTGTAATTCATCTGATGGCATGGAAATCCCCCCAAATCTCCACTTGGGTTGGTTTTAATGTTTTAAAGCTGGAAAAACCTTGATGCCCTTTGGGGGATTTCCATTATTTCAAAGTAATTTCTTTCATCATTATCTAGCAATGGTTTTATTATTGTAGTGCAAACTCATCATAATCGAATTTCCTCTCTCCAGTTTTGAGGATTTTTACATTTTAACACTGAACTGTGATTACATTGTTTCAACTTCAGGTCCAATTGCAACCTTCTTCTGGAACTTTTAATCACATCTCAACTGAAGAAGACTATGAAAGTCTTCTGCTGTTCTGTGCTGCTGTTCTGTGCTTTAACCTCCGGGGGGGAAATGAAGACAGTCCAAAAGTTCTAAACAGTGCGGTTCTTCTGATGGCTATTGAGGCAAAAGATGTTTTGAGCCTGGTACTCTATAGCCTATTTTCCACTAGCATGTAATGGACTCGACTTGACTCAACTTACCCTTGGTTTATAGGGTTTTCCATTAGGTTGTACTACCTGGTACCAGGTACTTTTTAGTACCCTTTTGGCAGCGTTTCCAAGTGAGCTGATTTGAGCCAAAAATCAACAGACTGCCACTAATTCTCCAGGGAGTGACAACACTGGATGGGGTCATGAGAGGAACTCCTTCACAAGAATCATTTTTGAAAACTGTCACTAACTGAAAAGCCTACACACAAATAAAAACTGTGGTCCAGCGATGAGGTGTAGAAACTTTTGTGTTTGGCGGCTAACGACAGAATCCAGAGAGAGCTAGACAGAACGACCGAAACGAGAAAGTGTACCAGGAGTTCGTAGGAAAGTTTGTTTTTAGAACTTATCCATCTAAATGCTGATAAACTTTAAAGTTAGGGCTGTGGCTGTTTCTGTTGGTTGGTTGCTCAACACAGAGATCTGTAAAAAACGCCTGGGAATGATGATGACTTACAGTAGAACTCCACCTTCTCATCTAAATATGGTATCGTCTAGGTAAAGAAATCCAACATCGCTGTTGGATTTCATATATTGTCAATAGTGAAGACTGAACAATTTTTTAAAGAAAAACAAACTAATAAGATTTACAATTTCATTCTTTGGCAGGGCGTGGTTTGTTGCACGGCTGCCGGGGAGGCTGACACACCGGAGCTCCATCAGCTCACCACGCCTCCCTTGTATAAAACGTGCAGGGACCTGAGGTTGGGGTTGTTGTTGTTGTTGTTGTGTGTGGACGCAGCTGAAAAGCTGTGGCCATGTGTTAGAGGAACAGCAACCAGAATAAAAAAAGAACGAACTATGTGAGGTCTGTCATTCTTGCCACACATTCAGTTTTAAATATATACATCATCCTTCTCTGTATCACTTTGTTTTAAATCTCAAGTCAGCATTTTTCTTTTTCTTCAGCCAAAGCTAATGAAACTGTTACTACATGTCCCAGCCGTTTTTGCACAAGAGGGGTCATGCTCCCTGGATGCTTGCTCAATGAGCCACTAAATAGTTTAACGTCATATAACTGACAAGTACTCGCCATGCCCTAGAGCCTCTTCTACAATTGCACCTGACTGGATGAATACATCTGATAGACTTTCTGCTCCTGAAATTCAAACTTAAACAAACACCATGGCTGTTTCACAGATTTTCTTTGTCACTGCAAAGAAAGTGTTCTTGGAAACCTTCAACATGAGAAATAATCCATGCTGATCATGAAGTTATGTAGTTCTCAGAGGCAAGTCAAGAAGTTTAAACCTCAACATTATGCAACTCGTTGCTCTATTGTTCAGAAATAAAATGCAGCTGCACCACAATTGCTCAGCTAGTTGCACAGATAATAAACTCAACGTGGAAATGATGGATCCTGTGGAAACTCACCATTAGGTATATGGCTGTTGATTTCAGAGTCAAGAACTCACCTCCATGATCAATATCATATTGACAATTCGCCAATAACCATTACAAGTTATATCATTATGGAAGGGTTCATTCTAACTGTTTTACTTACTCTAATCTTGCAAGTGCAGTCATTAATGTGCGTTACTACACGGTTAAGAGAACACTCTGTGAGTTGTTTCAGTGTTTCACTTTACTCATTCAGGTTGCAGTCTTGTGAATTCCCTGAATTCATTTCCTTCTTGTAATCACAATAAGACCCAAACTGTCTACCGAGAGCAAGCTTTATATGCAGATAACCGCCGTGTGATTCTGCAATGATGTTTATCTCTTCAAAACAGATGTTCTCGTTCTGAAATCGTCACCACAAATAGCTGACGTGGAATGACTGCAGTGAGCGCAATGTTTCAATCAGTCAATGGCAAGCGAGGTCTGGCCCACACATCTCTAGGAAAAACAAAAGTAAATATTTCATTTTTATTGTCATGTGAGCGCGCCACGCCAGCAGAGTGCTTTTAAAACCACCAATTAGAAACAGCACAGGACTGATTTCAGTACAGCCAGGACCGAACGAAAAAGAGCAGAAAAAACGGTCACAAGCTTCCAAAACATTAGGAATTAAAGAAGCTATTCCGTAAAGCTATAATGAAAACCAGAGGGATGATTTTTTTAAAATCACTGCACATTTAACAACAGTGGAACTCCGGGCCAGCGTGGCTCTAAAGCGCTGGCAGATACGATATCAAACCACTGTCTTGAGACAAATAAAAACAAGTTTTGCCACGTTTCAGTCCCCAGGCAGTGGTTAGGGGTAAATAAAAAGCAAAAGTCATAAAGATGAGAGGAGAAGAGGGGGAAAAAAACCCACAATTTGTCCCCCCTTCTCCCATTCTGTCTTCTGTCTTTTCCCTCCAGTTGCCGGAGCGCTGCCATCTGTTGGAAAAAAGAGCACATGCTGTCTCTCATGTGGAGGCACGTCCTAGTCCCAACTTTAACAAAGCATGTCCTTCTGTAGGGATCATTCAACCGTGCCATCTCTCAACATGCCGGCCTGACGTCAGCCTGCAGGCTCGCTTCACCTCTCTCTCAGCCAAAATCCGCCATTCATCAGCTCGACGCGCACAGTCAAAACAGCCCGCTCAAAGACACCGGGAATGATGTGTCAGATTAGTCTGCAGTGAGATGAGGAGTGACAAACGGAATTTTTTTGATAGGGTCACATTTGGTTTGCTGAGTGATAGGATATGAAATCTGACTTCCCACCATGGTTGAAGTCTGAGATTTTTTTATATACAAGTAACTGATTTGTTCCATCAATGGACAGGAAATCGCAATAAAGTTGTGTTATTTTATTGACACAGTTACTAGTGGGAAAAAAATAGCAATTTTATTTCGAGACACATAAAACATCTCCATTAAAAGCTTTTCGTAAGTGGTCACTTTTAGAGTGTTTTATAGCTCAAGATTTTTGAATTATTAGTACTTAATTAAGAGTAACAGCTTTAATATTTTGAACTGTAGCTTTATGCACTATTGTGAAATTAAATCAGTGGCACTGCCTTCTATTACTCGACCTTAAATGTTGAAGGGAAAAAATGACTGAAATGGATAAAAGCGAAATACTTTCAAAGGTGAGTAACTGTACTTAGCTTTCTTTCCACCATTCAAGATAGAATCTGTTGCTTATAAATAAAGCATCTTTAATCCACACTATTCACATGCCTCACAATAAAAACAATATTTATTTTTCATGCAGTATTTTTCAGCCTCTTTAGTTTTCTTAAATTTATTCTGTTTTATTTTTTGCCAACAACCTCTAGTATTCTACTGGTTTTTATTATTATTATTACCCCTCTCCTCAGCCTCAACTGGTTGACCAGATTCAGTTCAATTCAATTCAGTTTTATTTTTATAAATCACAACAGTCTCCTCAATACTTTTTAAATTGTAAAGAGTAAAAAAAAAAGTAAAAGAGAGAAACCCCGACAATTAAACAACTCTCTGTGAACAAGCACTTGACGACAGTGGGAAGGAAAAACTCCCTTTTAACAGGAAGAAACCTCCAGTAGAACCAGGCTCACGGAGGGGCGGCCATCTCATCATCCCCAATGGGTCGTGACAAATGGCTGCCCCTTTTCTTCCTGTTAAAAGGGAGTTTTTCCTTCCCACTGTCGCCAAGTGCTCGGATATAGGGGGTAGCTGGAATTTTCTCTGTATTACTGTGGGGTGTTTACCTTACAGATAAAAAGTCTTGAGGTAACGGGTATTCTGGGCCAAGCTAACCGCGCTAACATGTTGACGCTGTGCAGCCTCACGCACGGAGCGAGCCGCGGTAACTCGCTAACTGAGATTTGCCGCGTTAATGCAGTTATGGCGTTAATGTCATTTTAACGAGGTTAACGCTGACAGCACTAGTTTTGGAACTATATTAATAAAACTGAATTATTATTGTTAGTAGAAGTAGTAAAGACATCTAAAGGCATTTAAAGGCACTTTTTGGGTGTCAGCTTGTTGTTATTTGAAAACACGAGTGAGGGGTTTGACTATAAAATCAAGGGCATTTGATATTCAGTCACCTAAAAGAATATACTGATTCTTACATCATAGACCCTCTTCATAACTGCTGGGGTCACTGCCTGCTGGAAATGAGGAACAATACGGGTCCAACCATGGCTAGTCTATAACTTAACATTGCAGTGCTTTCAGCTAAATACTGACATCAGGGTCCAAACCATTTAATTTAATTTGTGTAAGATTCACAATTTCCCTTTAGCATGCTAACATATAGGCAAGTATTCATT